GCTTAGTGAATGTTGGAAACAAAACTTCACAAAACTTGTTTTCAGAATGGCAAAGAACAACATCGAGGAAGGATTAATTTGATCGGCCGGTTACAGTTGTCGATGGAGTCGTCCGCCACGAAGGAACACGAGGATATAGTGGCACTGAGGGAGCTGCGTGTTCAGGAAGCTGCTGTCAAGGCAAGCGATTACTTCTTAATAATATACCATTACTGTTTTATAAAGAAGGTGGCGCGGGTGCAACTCCCGGCATGGGCAGCCATTACTCTGCATCATAGTAACTTCTTGGGATACACAGTTCTTTCGGCACCTAACAGTGTCGAAGTCCAGTAACCAGAATGCGTGCCTCGTCTAACCATGCCTCGGAGACCCCGTTGGGGGAGTTCCTCTCCTCACGGGGAGATTCCCTAGAAGCTAACCCATATACTTCAGGGTGGAAGCAGGGTCAACCCTACCGTTGGGACTTTTAGAAAAATTTTTACGACTCCTCTTCGTGGTGGGAGATTTCATACGACCCCTTTTCCTCGGCTTCTTTTGACTTCTTTTTCCCTCAAAACACACCCTCGAGCGGTGGGAGGGGGGGGGGAAGGGGTGGATCACTCTCGCCCGCTCTCACCTCATCACATGTAATTTCGTGCTACCGAAGCAAACTACGACCCCCCACAAACTCAACAAACTACGACCCCCGTTGGTACTTGTCCCAACGTAGGGTTGACCCTGAGTGAAAGTGCTTCAGTTGCAAGGCAAGTACTTGCTCACCACGCACACTCTACGGAGATCAAGATCTCGAGTCGTACCCCGTCCAGGCCAACCAAGCGTTTCATCCCTCCGGGCGTGAAAACCCCTGGCTCAAAGTGTGCCGTCAGGCATGACGCCGCCCTGGCACACTTTTGAGCCAGGAGTAAAGAAATGCAAGAGATGTCACAGATTACATCTCACATTCCCATGTTCCTCCAGTTTTTTCTTATTTTGATTTCCATTTCAAACAACACAAATCTTTGCAAAAAGCTTTGCAATTAAACAAAGTGGCATTATTTAGATAATGAAAATGCGTAAGACGATAACGTCAGCTCAACTCCAAACGGAACTTGTGGAAATGCTTAAACCTATGTTCATACCAAATCGGAAGTTGATAAAAGAACAAATTGATTGGCTCATTGACAATCGGTAGGTCCATTTTTTAGATCTGCTTCTTTTGCTTGGTTTTCTGCTCTCTCTCTTATTTTACGGTGCCTTTGAATCCAGTAGATTCATAAGTACTGTATTTCAGATTCATTGAACGAAAGGATGACGATATCAACACATTTGTGTATGTTTCCTAGTGTCATGGCATTTGCGTTTATTTGTTTTAGATGCTTTTTTGAATGGATTTCTTTGTATCAGGTTCTGTCCATAGGAAATGTAAAGCTAATATACTTTGCAAGTTATTAATGTTTTCAATGATGTACAGAAGCTATTCAATGTTTTCATAAAATTATGTGACACTCTCTCCAAAAATTATTTCGCTGAATACTCGGTTCAAAATGACTTGTGAAGAGTGCAGTAGCTTGAACTTCGCCTTATTTTTTTGCTGGTTGTCACACCTGCATAATTGGGTATCGATGTGGATGTGTAGGTTACTTATTCAATTTCCTGTCCTTCATTTGATTGATTTATAACTCATCTTGTGTTTGTAACCATAAGTCTGGCTAGTCGAAAACGTCTGTGTATTTTGTTCAGCTTTTTTCAATGAAACTATTTAAGTTAGCCGTGTTTCATTCATAAGCTAGAAAGAAAATTGTTTTGCCGCGTGATTGTAGTGGAGTTCATCTTCGGAGGTCATTTGGATTGCTACCAGCATAGCGCGTGCGTTGAGGATTCCTCGACGAGGGGGTCTTATTACGTCCAGACAAAGGAAAGGGGTCGTAGCCGGGATCAGCAATGATAGAGCACCGGCAGCCTGTTGGGATGTGGATAGGAACCGCTGCTCGTGCCGGATGTCGAACGCCGGCGCTTTTATGAACAGGTTCGACCAATGCCCTACGCTTCAATTACGATTTCCCTGCAATGGATATGTGAGTATCAAGACGTCAAGTTCATAAACATGCAACCGTTTGAGTAAGTTCGAACTTCCAAGTACACTTCTACACTTATTAGAAAGCCGAAAGCTCGCGAAGTCCAAAGCTTCCTTAATTTTTGATCAGAATTGTCCAAAAAAGAACATGGTCATTGAAGAGAGTGAAAAC